GTGGAAAACAGCAAGAGGTATGGAGTCTAGATACTTCCTGTCTTTTCCTCCGTAAGAACCTCATGTATCAAATGGATGAAAGGAAAAAAGTGAGAGGCAGGATCAAGGCATGAAAGAAGAGGTGATTTTCCATGTGGAGAAATATGGAGTTCAATGACTGGTAGAAGTTTACCTACATTTGTCTTCTGTGGAAGAGGAATTTTCTTGAAGTCTATCAAGGACAAAAGCCCTAAGGCTCTGGAGGTCTTTCACCAGCAATTTTTCAGAAAGCTGAGGAAGTTTTCTAGGACTGTATGTAACTGTTCTTTTCTCCTCCTTATATTCCTCCCTACTTGATAGTTGCTGTTGACATGAAAGTGTTAGGAGTAGGATCCTGGATTGGATGAACTGTTGTTTTTGCCTTGTGGAGCTGTTGCTATGTTCTATCTCTTACCTAATCTGTACACTGTCAAGTTGGACCAAGTAAGTATCTCTGCCAGAGCAAATCTGAAGTCTGTCTTTCTCAGGATTTCCAGCGCTTCAAGTGCATTCTAGACACCTAGATTCTAGGCTTTTCTATACAACCTTTTAAGAAAAAACCCTGCAGTTAACAGTTAAAAGAGTACAGCCTGTCTTCTGAAAAGAGAATTTTAGAACATGTTAGTGGCAGATAAACAACTAAGCATGAACTTTTGTTTCTATGTTGTGATAGAACTAGCTGTCCAAATTCTTGAATTCACTAATAGGAAAGTAAGTTCCACTTAAGTAGCACCAATGAAACCACTCTTCTGCAATAATATTTCTCTTTTTGTTTTTTACTTCAAAAAGGGATATTGGAAGACTTTCAGAGAGTTGCTGCAAAAAGTATTTCAGCATTTGGAAACAAACTTCATACTGGAAACCTTAAAAGAACATAGATTTTGTTCATCCAAAGGAATATTAAGGAGGTCTTTAAATCAGCAAATGGTAGCTGAATATATTGGTAGAAAAAGGTTTCTTTAATGCAGCAGATAAAGACATAGTGCTGCATTTTTGATCCACTGGATTTTGCAAACCAGAAACCAGGCAGACTTCTGTCTGGCAGACTTCTGTCTGACAGACTTTGAAGGACCCATTAATGGATATTGGTTTGCTCAGTTGTGATCTTTCAGTCCTTTATGGATATTTTTTTCCCAACTAAAATGTGTTAATAAATAAAACAAGGATATTTTGCTTTGCATTCGATTCACTTGATTTATTTTTTTATATATTTTATGATATACAAGAGGACGTAAAGAGGTCCAGTCTCCTTTTTGAAGTAGGGTCAACTCTCAAATAGACAAGGTAGCTCAGAATTTTATCTAGTTAGGTGTTGAAAACTTCAGTTGATAAGACTGGATGACCACTCTGGGCAACCTGGCTTTCTTCATGTGTTCACTTTTCTTTTTATTGATTGGAGTCTCTGATTTCTGCTTACAGGTGTTATCTCTTATTCTTTGCTATGCACCTCTACAATAAGTCTGGCTCCATCTTCTTAAAAGCCACCTAACAGACACTGAAAGCAGATTTTAAGTCCCTGTTAAGATTTGTTTTCTCCATGCTGCACAAGCCTCTCTTACAGGTCCCCAGCCCCTAAGCAGTCCCTTGCTCCTTACTGACAGATGGCATAAGGCTGCCAATAAAGAGCAACAACTACTTGCTATGATACACTGGCTCTGTTCCTGTAAGCCAGCTCAGGGAGTTCTGGACATCCTCTGCTGCCAGGGCACACTCTTTGCTCATGCTTTGCTTGCTCTCTGTGTGAGCCCTTAAAGGAGAGCTGCTCTCCAGCTGTGTGACCCAAGCCTGTATCATTGCAGGGGTTCTCCCTTCCCAGGTACAGGATTTCTGTATTTGTCCTTGTTGAGTATCGTAAAGTGTTTGTCATCCCATTTCTCCAGCATGTCTAAGTCCTGATGATTCCGTTGAAGGTACATAAATCTATGATTTTTTTCCAAAACAAAAATAGTCAAATTCAGTCATGCTTTATGGGGAAAATCTGTATTTCTGTTATTATAATAACTTTGGTGTAGAGTTTGGTCAGCGATTCACTACTTAGAAAGACTGCGCTTTTGTTCTTGTGATTGCTGTCTATGCACCTCATTTCTAGCCAGTCTATAAGGACAGTGTTGCAGTCACAAGATTGTGAAATAATGAGTATGACTGTGCAGTCCAGAGTAACTTTCAAATACTGTTCAAATGCTCTTAGGCTTACAGATTATTCTTATTTCCATTTATATATGTATTTTAGCAGAACTGACATCCAAATAGTCAACCAGCCAGTCACTAAGCAGATATAAATGCTTGTAGCTGTATAAATTATCACAAGGTATTTTCAATTGTTTAGTAACAGACAAACACTCAGTCAAAAAAAATTTAAAAAACCCCAAAACACCTTTGTACCTTTGTGTTGAGATGCACAGCAAATAGTGTGACTTAAGACAATTGTGATTGTGATAAATACACTGATAACTTGATGATATAAATCAGTTTTTTTAAAGGGTTGCATTCGTTGCTTCTGCCTGTCTAGCATCAGGATAACAAGATCACAAATTATCAGTGAAAAATAAGCTGATAGTCAGTTGTAAAATTTTCTCCTCCTTAACTAGAGAGGTTTAGCTGGGCATTGTGTTTAAACCACTTTTAGTTAAATGAGCTAGATTTCTTCACAGTGATGGAAATTTGTAAAGGAAGGACCTCCTCCTCCCTGACATTACTTGTCCTTTACATAGAACTGAAAAAAACTTAACTTTGAAGCTTTTAACTTATGTTAAAGACATTCCAGGTGTGTGTCTCTTTCCATGGAATATTTGTGTCTTTCAGCTGAATATTAAAATCTATGAATTGTGGGAAATGTTCTCTTGAACTTAATGACTCTCCTTTAGATTCTTAGGTAAATGAGTCCTATTTTATTCATAACACTTAAACACATGAAGCTTATCTGTAAGTCTTAAAAAGCAGGTGGCATAGGCACTATACCATTTTTATTACCTTAAAAGTAAATCAGCTTTGCTTTGCAGAATTTATCTTCTGAATATTATTTCTTGTATGAATTAACAAAATAAAAATTGTCATAATTTCAGATTTTTATTTTCTGACTCCTTCCTTTTTCTGATTTACTAGGTGACTTATTTTAAATCATTCAAATGTTCTTCATAATAGAAGTAAAATTTAATTTTAAGAGAGCATCAAGCATACCTTTGTAGCTAGAACTTTCCCTAGAAAAGGTGGTAAATGCTGTGAATGACAAAACAAATACAGGAAATTGAAGAAGTGTACAGTAGCACAGTGCTGAGTTGCTCTGGATAGATTTTAATGTAATCTCAAAAGCAATAGTTATAGGTTATATCTAGCCAGTGTAGGAGGTAGCAAATACGGCCTATATGAAACACATAATGGAATGTAATGGAACAGATAATAAAGTTTTTCAGGAAGCATTAGCATTTGTCATTTTAACCTCTGTGTGTTTGGGGATTCAGATTTTTCTTTATTTAAGCATTTCCTAAAATGTATAATTTTAAATGACAGGTCCTCTATTGTGATATTGTATTATCAAGATTTGTATTAGCAAGAAACTTTAAATGAAAATTCATATTTGTTAACCAAAGAAGAATCTAGGCCTTTTCTACCATAAAGATTATGGCTGAATTTGCCAATTGTAAATAGAGAAACATATTAGTAATTTGTTACTGAAATTTTTATACATTTTCCCTATGCAGAAAAATAAACTAAAATAGTTTGTTGACAACTTTAGCTAAGTTTAAAAATACATTCTTTTCGTTTCAGAGGTAACTGAAACATTATGTTACCTCAGTTATTATAGTTATTATAGTTCAGTTATTCTGATTTTATTACTAAGCAGATTCAGAAGTGAATCTTACTGTGTTAGATGATAGTTCAAATTTTTGTTTTGAGGGTATTCTCTTATTTTTTCATATCTGCATTCCCTTTCTGTCATTCTTATTTCCCCTCCCTGACATGGTCTTTAATAAGTATTCTAAATTTGCTAGTCAAACTAGGACGATTATAAGACTTTTGAACATCTAAGTAACACATAGAGTTCTTTCTTCTGTTTATAGAAGAGGTGAAGGAGGAGAGAAGAAAGGAGAGTGAGGAGAATAAAGAAGGAGAAGAGGCCCACAAAGAAGAGAAACAACCAGAGAAAAGTATGTAATGTTAAAACTATTATGCTTCACTTGGTGGTTTGTATTAGAAGCACAGAATCATTGAGGTTGGAGGGGACTTTCAGTGATTATATAGTCCAATGCCCCTATTTAAAACCTGGTCAACTAGAGCAGTTTGCTCAGAACCGTGTCCAGAGAGAGGTTTTGAATATCTCCCCACGTGGGGATTCCACAACCTTCCAGTGTTCTGCTTCCAGTGTTTGACCACCCTCACAGTAAAAAAGTTTTTATATGTCTGAGTGGAATTTCCTGTATTTCAGTTTACATCCATTTCTCTTGTCCTGTCACTAGTACTCATTAAGAGACTTGCTCTGTCTTGTTCACTCTCCCCTAATGGCCTTCTCCAGTTAAACAATTCCAGCTCATGATGGATGCTTCAGTCTGTAAAACACCTTGGTGAATCTACACTGCACTCTCTCCAGTATTCTTGCATCTTTCTTGTATTTAGAAGCCCAGAACTGGGCATAAGAGTCAAGGTTCAGTCTCACATGTCCCAGTTAGAGGGGAATAATAGCCTCCCTCAACCTGCTGGCAATACTCATCATCAGGCAGCCAAGGATATTGTTGGCCTTCTTTGCCAACAGTGCACATTTCTGGCCCATGTTCAACTTCATGTGCATGAAGAGCAGCTGGGCCTTTTCTGCAAAGCTGTTTTCCAGCGAGTTCCCAGCCTGTACTAGTACATGTGTTTATCCCTACCCAAGTGCAGTACTTTGCATTTCCTTTTGTTAAAATTCATGAGATTCTTGTTTGCCCATTTCTCCAGTTTGTCAATGTGACTGAATAGCGTGATAACCATTTAGTGTACCAGTCTTGCATCATTTGCAAATTGTCCTGTTATCCCACTGTCTAGGTCATAAATGAAGATGTTAGTGTTGGTACCAGTAGCATCTGCTGGTGTACTTAACTAGTGAGGAGCTCCAGCTGGAGTATGTGCCACTAATCACAGCTCTTGGAGCCCCTTGGTTGTGCCAGTCCAATTATCCAGGCCATACATCATGAATTTGTCTCTGAGGATGTTTTGGGTGTCAAAAACATTACTCAAGATAAACAGCACTCATTGCTCTCCCCTCATCCACCAAGCTAGTTGTCTCACCATAGCCTTCTATCAGGCTTGTCACTGCAAACCATGAAATAAACTCTCCAACCAGTTGCTAGGTTAGAAAGCTGATGTTACTTTATTCAGCACGCTGGGCGCATGAGAATAGCTCCATAACGCATGCACACCCAGCAACCTAACAGACCAGGTTATGTTCATGACACTAATGCATATTCATCACAATTCTATTACATATTCATTACACTTCCTGAATACATGCATATATACTAATTAGTTCTGTGGACTTACTGGGATATGGTTGCAGATGTTCTAATGAATCTTTTCTCCTTGAGAGTATCTTAAATATGGGGCCAAGTCATAACGTACTTCTTTGCACTGACACAAAATCCTTGTTCTCAGAAGTAAGACATCTGCTAGTACATATTAGTCACTGATACAGGTAAATAAGGAAACAATAGCTGACACAAGACTATTAGTCACAGATGTAAGGGTCAAAACACTTTTGTACTAAAGTTAAAAGAATTTTCCAACGTCTTCCCCAATGCTGTATAGACTCCTTTTTGGAAGAAAATACAACTTTTTCGGTAACAAGCTGATAATGCATGATTTCCCCTTGATAAATCCATTCTGACTGTTCCCCATCACCACCACCTGAATGGGTTTAGACATAATTTCTAGAATTCCTTGTTCCATCATGTTCCCAGTGATTGAGGTAAGGCTGACCATCCTGTAATTCCCTGGGTCCTTGTTGTCCTTCTTGAAGATTCTGTGAAAACAAATGTCACTCCTGTCCTCAGGAATCTTCTGCTGGACACAGTGCCAGGAGCTGGAGGAGTGAATGAAGTCTCTTTGGTTCTTTTGTGCTTCATCACTGTGATGAAAATTACTTTTATATTATAGTTCTGTTTTGAGCCTGTTCTTTTGTTAGATTTTTACTTTTTACCCAAGAAGTAAGAAAAAAGTTTGAATGTTTTTTGAGTCAGATGTTGGAGGTACAGGTTAAAATTCATGGCAGGTAAATACAGGTCATTGCTGGCACAGTTAGAATGAGATGCAGTTTAATTCAGCTGGAATCCTGAGAAGATGATTCTCTTTTCAAAAGAGGATTTTGTTTTGCTTCTCAGAAGCTGTATCTCATTATAGGATGGTGCTGATAGGAGCAGGAAGAACTGGAGGTGAGTTCTGGAGAGGGGAATGGTGGTACTAGAGCCATTTTGCATATGTGGTAGTGATTTGGGGAATCACAAAGCAGAACTCACTAACAGGGCAGTAATGTATAGATACCGAAGGGACTGGTTTTTTGCTCTGATGTCATTAAGCATGTTGTTTTCCCAAAGGCATTCTTACTGGTTTAGAATGAAAAAGCTTAAATTGAAGACAAATGAAACTTCATAGTAATCATGGCATTCTGCAGATATCTGTTTTTATAAGAGTTCCTCACGAGCAGTTGTATCTAATTGTTCCAGGTGAAGCATTAAAGAGAAAGCGTTCCAAATCTGACGACATGGATGATGTTAATTTTAAACATCGTCGGTACATGGAAGAAGATTATGAGGCAGAACTCCAAGTGAAAATTACAGCCAGAAAGGATGTTGACCAAAAATTACAAAAGGTAGAACGGAGGTGCAGAGCGAAGAACGTACGCGCACCTGTCACTTGTGTTACCAGCTTTGAATTAGCTGTCCTTTCCCACCACACCCTGCACCCCCAAACACTTTCTCTTTTTTGTGGTTGAGCATTGGATGGATATAATTCAAATAACAAAAGTTGGCTTATTTTGTATAAAGTCCCACATTGCCTTACTTTTAAGAAGAGACCAAATATCATTTGAAAACTATGCTGCGGGAGTTATATTTGAAATGTATAAAATAGTTGAACTCTGAAGTCTCATATGACTCCAGTATGAGAATCTTGGTAAAGGTGTTATTTCAGCGTGGGAAGTTTATATGTGATTTTATTTTGCACCTAGCTTTAAAGAGTCTCCAAACAAGCACAATCGACATAGCATTTTGCAGATTTCTGTAGAGCTGATTGCACCATTGCTATGTAAGGAACCTATGATCTTGAAGAAAAAAAATTGTGCTATTCTTCCATTAGTTAGCTAGTGTGTTGTAACTTCATCAATGTAGGATGGCAAAAACTGAACCACCTGTGTTTCTTATTTATTTTTGTTTCCCAAGACATTTTTTTGGTGCTGCAAAAGTTATAGAAGGGAGAAAAAATTTAAGTAATAAGTTTATCAAAATTTGTGGAAATCAGTCTTTTTCTGTTTTTAGCTTCTGCAAGAAAAACAACACTGCATTTTTGCTAGGGGAAAATACATCTTAGAAATAAGGTTTTGTTAAATGTCTTTAGTTTCTGTTCTTTGAATGCCAGTGTCCCTCTCAAGAACAGAAAAGTAAGAAGAAAACTTTGTGTAAACACTGCACTTTAAGAAAATATCTTCTGTTATTAAGGTTATTTTTATATTCAGTAAGATTTTATGCACTTACCATACAACAATGAAATTAATTTCTTAAATTAATGACAAAGAGGGACCATTTGTATTTGCCAAAGTAGATGTAGAAACTTCTTAGCTATGCAACCACGCACTTATTGGTGACTATAGATTTATTTGATTGACAGGGCACAACAGTTCTCATTGTTCTGTTTATAGCAGGATACTTGCTAAGAATTGAGAATATTTTTATAGATGGTCTCCCAGATTTTGGAATTGCATTGTTATTTTTTTAATATAATAATTCTGCAGGTTATCCAGAGACTATTAGAAGAAAAACTTAGCACTTTACAGTGTGTGATATTTGACAAGACTCTGGCAGACTTGAAAACCCGAATAGAGAAAGCTGAATGTACAAAGAGGCATAAAACTGCGTTTACTGAACTGCAGGTGAGTGTGTGTTCAGCTGCGTACTGGGGTCAAAATCAAAAATAAGTTCCTCAATATTTAGTAGTAAGTCTCCTGTAGTTGTCAGTAGGGAAGCCATTTTGGCTCCACAAGGGGAGAAGAGGGTAGGGGAGCAGCAAATACTAATGTTCCATTTGAGTTGTAAAACTGTATTTTCCAACTCAGAAAGAGGAATGCAACCAATTAATCATCAAAAAACCCCAAAGCAGATCTTCCTTCTGGCAAACTGATTCATTAGCTGCTAGTAAACCACTTTTCCATTCTCTTCTTCCATTCTGTGCTGTTCTGTTAGATGACATTTTTCAAATAAATGCTAGGTATGAAAATATCTAATGCCTCTATGAAGCCAGAAGTTTGCTGACTGTTGTTTCCCCAGAAACTAAACAATCAGCAAGGAAACAAATAGTTAGTGGTGAATGCAATATGCTTTCTTGTATTCTTTATAGAAAATGCATATATAGTGGTGACATGAGGAACATCACAAAAATCAAAGAATTTTGAAGTGACAAGACAATTAAAAGCTTGTCATAACAACTTCAAACAATAAGGCTGTTATACTTTTAGTGTTAAAAGAAATATGGAGTTTGCCAGACCAGTTCCTACCACACAGCTCTTTCCTCTTGCTGCCCCAGACATTTTACATTGACTTTTTGAGTGCTAAGATGCTTACAGTATACTTGTGTACCAGTGTCTTTAGCCATCAACTACACTGTCAAATTAATAACATCATGTAAGGCTTTCATATATGTAGGGTTTCGTGTGAATATGAAAGAGGGATTCGGTTTGTGCAATTGTGAATAGGAAGGAAATAATTCGAGTTGTCTATAAGATAGCTTGATTGTGATACGCAGATGTGTCTTTCTGCTGTTCTGAAATAATACAGTTGTACTGTATTTCAAGGAAGAATAATTTCCCCTCATATGAAGATAGCTTTCGACTTGATGTGTTAGTTGTATATATTTTTAGTTTGTATAATTTCTTTCATGGTTCTTGGGGAGGACATTTATGGTTTTGTTTGTTTTCATCTTCTTCCCATTTAGGCTAAAATTGCTAGATTGACAAAGCGGTTTGGAGCAGCCAAGGAGGACTGGAAGAAGAGACAGGAAGTACGAACTAGATAGTGTCGTGGTTTGGTTTTCTTTTTCTGAGTTGTGTTGAAAAATAAAGAAAATTTATATGCAGAAAGATGCGATTTGTTTGTTCAGTGGCATTCACAAAGTACGTTTGTCTGGTTTGGTTAAAGACACTGATATGAAAGAAGTTTTTCAACATCTGTTTGTAATTCTGATTCGTACAGAAGCTTCTTTAGCCATTATTAGCTTGAAAACACCTTAAACTGTATATAACTGAATCTAATTTACTTTAGTATGAAGAGTACAGTGTAAATAAGAGTGAATCCCAGTACCTTGATTCTGGGGTGGAGGGGCAAAAGGAAAGAGAGGATATAGGAGAGGGAGGCAGGTAGGACCAAGGAGATTTCAGGGGGTTGTAAAGTTCTCCTGCAGTGTTGACTTCAGAAAATGAATCTCTTACATAGAAGTGAGTGGATATGAAACAGAATGAAAGCATAAGTTTGCAAGCTGACTTAGAGTTGTTTTGTTATGGCTTTTCTTTCACTCTCTCTCATTTGGTGTAGAATTCAGCAAATGCACCTGCATCTCCAGGGAAAGCAGCAGCTGACACTGCAAATACAAACAATGCGACGTATCGGTAAGCAAACCACATCGCTGTGACCATGTCAAAATTTACAGTAGGATACTTCAGATACCTAATGTCATGGATAATCCCAGTATTTTGAGGTTTTTTAATTAAAGTGTTCTTCCTTTTCCTTCATTGCTCTTCAGTTGTAAAATTCAATTTGCTTTCACAGAAGTCATAAATTGACAATATTGAATGTATTCTTAGATAATTGGGCTGTTGTTTTAGTGGTTAAAAATTATGGATAAAACTAGAAGTTTAATTTCAAGAATGAGAAAATTCTCATACTGGAAGGCAAACTTGGTGAAAGCACTTGAAAATGTACAAATAATTCTGCACTTTCTTAGTAGGAGAATATTCAAAGTTAATTTCCATGAGGACCAGAAAATGGGTTTAGAAAATCTCAGTGGAAAGAATAGCTCTAAAATAAGGAGATTTTTTCACCATTGTACTGTTCATAAATATACCTGACATGACTTACTGAGAAATGCTACTTGAAACTTCATTCCATAGAAATGCTGGCACAGTGAGGCAGATGCTTGAGTCAAAGAGGAACGTAGGAGAGAGCACACCAGCAACTTTTCAAGCACCTGTGAGTGCAGGTAAGAAACTCCCTATGGACTGTTAACACATTTCTTAAAAGTTTTATTACTTTCCATTAAAGAAGTAACTAACTAAACAGAGCAAAATCAATTTGTTTCTTTTTTTTTCTGACATGAAAATCATTATTTTTAACTCTCTACCACATTCCTGGTTTATATTTGTGCAGTAGGCTTACCAGGTATGTGAAAAAATGCGTTGATTTGGCCAGCCAAAATTAGATTAGGATAAATTAGATGCTTCAGGAGACTCCACGCTAGGTATGACAGCAAAACTGGCAGAGTTTCAGCTGCCAAGTGAAACACATGGCTCAGGCCCTGTTTTGTATTTGGTCATAGTAGGATACTAATATCCTCCTCTCTACCTAATGGCTACAGAAATTAAGTGGGAAACTAAATGGCAGTTATAAACCCCATTTCTTAAAGGAATCATGTTGAAAAATGGAATTTCTAGATTAAAATTTTATAGGGAATGTCGACTCAAACCCACCATTAATTACATTCATTGTAGTCTCACCATCCTCAGTTTTAAAAATAGTTTAATATTGAATGCTGAATCTTTTCCACAGAATTATCTAGTAGTAGGCATATATAGGCTTTCAGTAGCTTATGCTCCTGATTTTTGGATTTTATCTTGAAATTTTGTTGCATAAAAGTGAGTATTTTCTCTGACACATTAATACTTGGTTTCAGTAGAACCTTCTGGATACAAGGTCCTACCTATACAAGGCAAATTAGTCATAACTGACATAGTTTTTCTTGTGTTTTGTGAAGGACCAGTTGCTCTACCATTTCTGAATGAGTGTTTAAAATGCTGTATTTTATATGTTCCCAACAGTTAAATCTTGGAGCTTTCTTCAAGCCTGTTTGTCATAATTCCTTATATACCTTTTTTTTTTCCTGCCACTTCTTTCAAGCAGTACAGTATTGACTGTGTTTTTTAACTAGGCCATTGCATATCAGAATGTACAACAGAAAAACAGTATTTATAGCTTTTATTTGCAAAAAAGGTTAATCATACACCACCTCTTTTATAGAATGGTTTGGGTTGGAAGGGACCTTTAAAGATCATCTAGTCCAACCCACTGCCACGGGCCAGGACATCTTTCACAGGATCAGGTTGCTCAAAGCCCTGTTCAGACTGACTTTGAACACTTAAAATGATAGGGCGTTCACAGCTTCTCTGTACAACCAGTTCCAGTGACTCACTGCCCTCATGATAAATCATTTCCATTTGTTGCGTTGCAGTGAAACTTCCCACTTGGTTCAAATACTTAATTTTTTTTATTAATTTTTTTGTGTGTAGTGCCAGCTTCCAGTCTTGCTCCTTATCCAGCAGTTGTCAGTGGACATCCTAAGCTTCAAACTCCAGTGACCTCCAGCAGCTCTTTGACGACAGCAGTTCTTCCCACAGCTAACACAGCTACAGTTGTAGGCACTAACCAGGTGCCCGCTGGAAGCACTCAGTCAGTGGCTGTCTCATTGCAGTCTTTGCCCGTAATCTTGCATGTCCCTGTTGCAGTGTCATCCCAGCCTCCACTTCTGCAAGGCCACACAGGGACTTTGGTCTCTAACCAGCAGTCAGGCAATGTTGAATTTATATCTGTACAAAACTCATCTACAGTTGGTAGCCTTACCAAAACTACAGTGTCTTTGGCATCAACTAACACAACTAAACCAAATAGCATTCCACCTGTGCCCAGTCCTGGTATTCAAAGGAACTCTACGACCAGTGCTGGGTCAATAGGCACAACGTTGGCAGTACAGGCTGTTTCTACTGCACATCCTGTTGCCCAGACCACAAGGACTTCTTTGCCCACAGTGGGTACTTCAGGACTTTATACTGCTACCAGCAGTCGAGCGCCCCTCCAGATGAAGATTCCTGTCTCTGCATTTAATAATACAGCGCCTACTGAACCACCCACCGTTGCAGCACCCAAGACTGGTAAGTTATGCTTGAATTTAAACACTGGGAAAGGAAAACAGTTGTCAGAGGGAAACACAAAACTGCACTTCTGTGGAAGTTTGTTTATTAGTGTGTATTAGAGAGATGATTCTTCCGGTTTGCGATTCTGTTGAAATTTTCAAGATGAAAATCACCTGTATGGTAGATGTGTTTCAGACATTGTTGAAAATAATCCCTCCTTAGAAGGAGTCAGCAGTGTGGCTTTGTAAGCTTTGTTTTATTAGAAACTTGATTTATGTAATTCCTAGCAGGAAGTCAGAAACTCCTCTATTCTACCATTAACAACTTGGTATTTATTTTTAATACAGTCTCTCAAAATAATTTGACTGCCTTTCTAAGCAAAGACATACCAAGAGGAAAGTATAATCAGGAACTTAATTTGCACAACACTTGAAAGTGAACAAAATGCGAGAAAAAATCACAACTGAGTACTAACCTAGTTCCAAAGAAGTACACTAATAGTATTTAAAATAAAGTCTCCAAACACAATAAATGTTCAAATAATGGTATCTAGGTTAACTGTTTTAAAATACTTTCTTTCAATCTTTGTCCATGCCATGATGTTTCTCTGCACTTTTGGTTTTACACACCTTGATTTCTTTTTTCTGAGAGGTTTCCAAGATTTATGAGTTGGAGTTATAGCAAGTTCGTCATTGGCACAATATAATGTTAAAATGAACTCAAGCAGAGCTTGACATCAGAACTAGTTTCTTTTAATTTTCCCATCCCTAAGTTACCTGTGTTAAAATATGTCTTCCATGGAGCTGGACATTTATGTTTTGTATTGACTCCTAGCTCTATAGCAAATAAAAATTATTTAACACAACATAAAAAGGGTTGTGCCAGATGAGACCCAGTGACACAAAGAAGGACCTGTGTGTCCAAAAAATGTATCCCATTTTATGCAGATCATATAGCCTTAGTGTATATAGTTTTCTCACTAGAATTGAAACACTGATTTGGGCCAGCACTGGTTAAAATAAAAAGGGAGAGAATTTGGATTTAAATGTTTACATCAAATGTTCAAGCAACTTCTTAAGTTTAGATACATTTAGATACTTGGCTGAGCTAGTAAAGATACTCAGTCTTCCTGCACAAATTGTCTCAGTTATACATTTTGCAGTCTGTTTAACCATCCATTTTTCAGTCCGTTTTTTTGGCACAAAAATATTTAATAATTGTAATATTTTTTCAGTTTAGTATCATGTCAATTTGCATACAGACAGAGGAGAGGTTGGAGTTATACTTTGTACTCAGATAGGCAAGAGTATTGCTCATAAAATGTTTATAATACACTGTCAAATTTACAAGGAAGGGAACACATTAATCAAACTTGAATATTTATAATTGAAAATAAGGGCTAAAAGTTAGATATGCCACATACTGAATGTTTAGTATCAAACAGTTTTGAATATTGTCTCCAAATTTGTGTAGTGGATAGCAGTAATTAGTACTGATTAAATACTGCAAATGAACAATTTCTTGCCCCCCCAGACAGCCAGACAAGCAGGCCACCAACAGATACTTCGGCAAACAAGCGAACTGCTGAGGGAACAACACAGGTAGGCTGTTGATTGTTTCTGTATAAAATTCTAAAGTTACAATCCACAGGAGAAAAGTTCTTTACCTTTATTGTTTATAATGAAACAGTTTTAATTTCTTTCTGTGCCATCCTTTCTAGTTTCTGTCCGTTTGAATTTTTCTTCTTCTGATTCAGAGTATTATTTGGAGCATGAGCTTCTGATAATCTTTTCGGAAGTTTTCTGATGGGGTTGTGTAGGTAGATGAATTAGTAAATTAGGAGCACACTAAAAATTTGTCTGATAAAACAGAGCTAATATAAAAAGAAAACTTGCCCCATCTTTGTCTGAAGGGCTTGAACTTAAAGCTACATATACTTTATACGTTATGGAAGTGCTCTCATTTCTGCGCTAATCCAGAAGTTAAAATTGGAATTCTAATGTTTGATTGCTATATGTCAGAGGAAAACAGAAAGGAAAAGAAGCTTTCTTCAGGAATAAGCTACTTCATGATAAAGGAGAAAATGTAGTACTTCTGGATTCCTTGTCTAAAATTTGTTGAACTTGCTTTGAAATGTAAAGGTTGAAATTAAACTATTTAGAATTATTCATAAATTATTTTCTTTCTGTATATAGGTATTTCAGAAATCACCTCATAGTTATACGTTGCTGTTAGAAGTCATTTTATTAAGATGAATAAAATTAATTTCTTCTAGCCAAAATTTACAAATTCATTAGTGTTTCAAAGTACAGTTAAATCTAAATTGTATTTCAAAGCAAGAAGAAAATATACTGGACAATATTCTGGTTTTCACCTGTCACAGAAATAGTCTGGCAAAGGTAGCCAGACTACCTAAAGGTATTTTACTGTATAAACTGTGCCTCACTCTACCTTCTTATTAAGGCATTTCATAGAGAATGGTTGTTTGGAACTTCACAAGATACCTGTGGATTATAGCTATTAAAACACTTGTCAGTACTTGATATGTAGGAAATCCAGTACCAGAATGGATGACAGAAGTACAATTTTAAGATTTAATTTTCAGTATAGGATGCATATTCTGGAATTTTTTTCAGTTAGAGTCTGAAACCAAGAAAAAAATTTGGAAAAACAGAATGTGTATGATGTGGCATTTAGCAACGGAAGGTGAGCAAGGAGGAGGGAAATAAAACATAGGATGTTTTCCAGGTTTCAGTCTTCTGTTGTAGTGTATGTTCTAGGTTTGCTTTCCATGCAATCAGTTAAAGCATGTGTAATGCCATGGTTAAAAAAGACCTGATACATTTTAATTGGGTAGTGAGATATGGAATTCACATGCCATATCATTTGAAAAATCCAGTTAATGCCACCTGCTTTTTGTTACATTAAATCCAAAATATTACATATTACTCCACGCTTCACAGCTCTCAGATCAAAAAGTAGTTCGCTGTGTGCCGTATACCTGTGGCATATTTGATGGTACAACTTTGATCAATTGTTTCGAAAAGCAGTTGAAACAGGAAGAGACTTCATCAGAAAATAAAGAAGCAGTAGAAGCAGCACAGACGAATTTTAACTTCCCTGAGGATGTCCTCTTTGGCTTGGAGGAAGAGGAAGAGGATGCTAAGAGCATCAAAAACACCCACAAGCAGACTGGCTGGGCAGCTAACCTATTAAAACAGTGGCTGGCCAAAAATGGCAAGGATCCTAGCTTTGAATTGGTCCCAGTAAGTGAACTTAATGATATCTTAAGAGAGTTTTATTACACAATAAGAAATCATGATGGAAATACCTACAGTGTGGCAAGCTACAAGTCAATGCGGGCCGGCTTAAACCGGCATCTCAAAATGCCACCTTATAATCGTCAGATTTGCTTAATGAAGGACAAAGAGTTTGCTAGTGCAAACATGGTGTTTGTGAGCGTGCTGAAGATGCTGCGCATGCAGGGGAAGGATGAGACTCACCACCATCCTCCTATAGCTGCTGAGGACTTGCGTAAGATTAAACAATCCGGTGTGCTGGGTTTGCACAGTCCACTGGCACTCGTCAACAAGGTGTGGTTTGATTTGCAGTTGCATTTTGCCAAGAGAGGGAGGGAAATTTTGAGAGATCTGGCTCCGGATGCATTTGTTGTTGAGAAGGACAAGAATGGGCGTCGCTATGCTATGTTTAGGTATCCCGGCAAAGGAAAAAATGGAGAAGATCCTCATAAAATGGGTAAAATGTATGATATGCCAGGTGACCCAAACTGTCCTGTTTTTTCATTGGAACTTTATTTGTCCAAGCTGCCTCCAGAACCCCCTGCCTTTTATCTGCACCCCTTAAAGCTAACATCAGAGCAAATGCAAGAGCAGCCTGTCTGGTACAAAAGAGAACCAATGGGTGTGAACTACCTGGGTACCATGATGCCCAGGATAAGTATGGCAGCCCGGCTCTCTCAGCGGTACACCAATCATTCTCTCCGAACTACCACCATTCAGCTACTCTGTGAAGCAGGACTGGGGCCTAGAGAAATAATGGCAGTGACAGGCCATCGCTCCGAGTCTGCTATTAGACACTACTGGGGATCTGCAGAGGTTCGCTACAGGGCCTGGTCAGATGTAATGGAAAATAATGCCCCCAATTACCTATATAGCAAGATCCCAAATGAAGTGATAAAAGAATCACTATCTGGTGCCTCCACCTCTTCTGTAAAACACGTTGTTCTAGAACAAAACAAAATTTTATTCCCTGCGAAATCAGTGGTGCCACCTGGCATTAATTCTGTGGCTTTAGTCCCCGAGGGACACCCAGCTCTAAATTGCAAAAGCCCTGTCCTGTTGAATCACAGTTCTTCCAAGGTGTTTCTCCCCAAGAATGTGACCAGTGGGAACCTAACTGCCGGTCCCCTTCAAGGCTGTTGTAACAAACCTGTCTTTATAAAGCATGTGATAAAACAAGAACCGATGACTTGATGCTTCTGTAATGGAACTGATTTCAAATGAATTGCTAAAATGGAAAAATTATCAGATTTGTTTTTTCACTTGGTCTGCTAAAGAAATTTCTTATGGTCTAGTTAAGCAAGAAGAATGCTGTTCACATTCATGATGTGAGCTATGGAACAGAAACAAACAGAGCGGGGCTTGGAGTTTGTATGACTTTTTGTGGCAACTGGGACTCTTTAGGTGGCTGAGCAGAGCTATTTTAAAAATACTAAAGGGAAATATTGATTTCCATTTAGCTGAAGATGTGCTTTCTTCGCTAAGAGCGTGGGTTTTATATTTTGTGAGGAGTGTATTTATCATACCATTTTGTGCCTGCTGGCACTAATGTAGCATCTTACAAATCAAATACTTGATTACTGAAGAGCACCAAGAAGGTAGAAGCTGAATTAAATAGATGCAGATGCACTACAAATATATACATATTCATGAAAACACCTGGAATTGCTTGACCACTGTTGCCCTCTGTTCAAATTGTTATCACACCTACCAGAGGATTGTACCTTTATTTTTCTTTTTTTCCATTCCTCTAAATTGATTCCTCTCTGTGAGCTGCAGATTTGCATTGCAGGTCTTTCCTTTTCCTATTTAATATTTTGGCTTAAGATTTCAGTTATTCCGTTCTCCAAAGGCACCGTTTGATACGCATGGTATTAAAATTAGGATCTCTTCAGTTGTGCATGAAACGGGGAAAACTCTCAAAAGAGCTGGACAGGTTTGTTGCTTAAATGCCAGGTAATTAGAGTCCAAGTGTTGTCTCTGTGCATGCGAAAGGTTTTTTTGTATTTCCTCTCACCCACACCTTCATTACATTTCACATCATCTTTGCAGTATAATCTATGTCAGTATAGTATAATTAATGAGAAGTATGTCCTGTTCTTCCCCACTGAACCCTATCCAGATATTTTTTTTTGGTTTTAACTTCTTCAGAGTAGTAAATTGATCCTGTCATTAAATTTCTCATAGTCTTTACAGATTAGAAATTCTCAGGATAGTGAATATAGGAATAATAATTTTTGTCAGAGATTCTAACAAGTAAGAGATCTTCCTGTAAATAAAAACAGAAAACTGATCATAGGAATCACAAGTTATGGTAGGTCCACTTTGGAAGAAGAAACAGTGGAGTGTTTAAACTTTTCCATTATATTAACTGAATGAAATAAGAATTGCTTTGTCCTTTTCAAATGTGTGTACACACGTGCACCACATGGTTTATCACGCTAAGGACTTCACTGGAAGTGTTTATGTTGCTCAGCAATGGACAAAAAAGAGAAGAATCTCAGCTGAAATGACAGATTGACCATGATAAATTCTTTAATTCTGTGGAGAACTTCCTTGCTGGCATAGGCTTTCAAATACTAGATGAGATTTATCGCTCTATTATAGTGTATAGTCTACACAGACACTGCTATAGTCTGCACAGAGGGCTTGATGCCTGAACTTCTGAGTTTTTATCTTGGCTGCTAATGTTTGCCTTTGTGGCCTTGGGTAGGTTACTCATACTTAATGCATCCATTTTCCAAAGTGTAAGACTAGCACAATCCTCCATTTTCTGATGGATCATGTTAACAATTAAAAAGTTTTAAAAGTTGTGTAGTCATCTCGTGTATTATATTTACAGTCACTTTTATTTGCTGCTGTTACAATGATTGAGATCATTGATCAGATGTAATTGTTAACACAAAAATTATTTCTGCACAGTCCTGTACTTCCTTAGTTTCAACATTAACTTACAGCATCAATGGCTAGAGGAAAGAAAGCATGGATCCAGAATTATAATTTTGTCAAACCTAAAATAAATAGAAATGGTAAAGAAGTAATCCTTTCTAATGGCTAGATAGAAGAAATAGTGAAAAAACGAAGGGCAAAAAGTTCTTACAATATGCAAGAACTTATTCTAGATATATAATCTAGGTATGTATTTAGGGTAACACAGATTTCCAAATTTTAGGGATTCATAGAATTCATAATTCAGCCACACTGGCAATTTTAATTTCTTATTTGAAGAAATTCACCCTAAACTTTCACCCGGATGTATTACTTTCCACCCCAAAAAATACTCCTGTCTTTTGCTCAGGTAGTTGCTTCTTCCAGCATATTGGCATTGTACATTTGTCCTGCAGAAACAAGTAAAGTATGTTGCCAGAAGACTATTCTTTTTTGTTCCCTCTTGCTGTGTACTGTGGTCATACTGAGCACATGCCCTGCTCTGGTCCTAACTGTATCTGGGTGACTTACTGTAACAGCATATTGCTGATGGCTTCGTTCTTNTACAAATCTACTCAGTGATTGAAATAGAAAAAGAGAATATTTGGCCAATTTTGGCATGTCTCTGATTCTTTTTGATCATCATTTGGCTTCTAACTTGACTTCCATTCTGTTGGCATATAATTGGGTATTTTTGGATTCTCATTTGTTAAATTCTAATTGTTGGCACCAACTATACAGTGTCCTCTTGCTACCTTCAGTTTGAACCTGATACTTCAAAGCTACTGACTGCAGTATTACTAGCTTCTGGTTTTTTGTATGGGAGAGGGTTTTTTTAAATGAGAAAAGTATTCCTAGTTTGAGCTGGAAGTATTGCTTCATAAGAACTGGGGTCATTGTTCACTAAGCTTTCTGTTAATATTCGAATTAATTCTTATTAATGGAACATGTCTTCCAGAACTGAAAAATCTTTCTCCTGCTTCCCCTCCCACCTAAAGTGTTAAATGAATCTTTCCTACATGTATTTTGTTTCTAGAAAAACTGAAGCAGACAAACAGAATGGGTGTGTTGCTGCTTTTGTAAAGTCAATTTTGGGTGTGCGTACAGTAATACTGGGAGCAGGGGGTCAAGTTTCAAGTCAGTTTTATTCATTGCAGTACAGGTTATGCTTTGTGAACATCATGAATTGTATCAAAATGGACATGAATTGTACTCCTCAGTCACAGTATCAGCAGAGAACCTCAAACAGCAAGATAACAGTTTCCTTTTTTCCTGTTATTTTCCCACTATAAGTGAACATGGTTGATGAACCACCCGGTTAAGTACAGTTTGTTTATCTAAACTTAAATTTAGACTTTGACTGTAAACTTGGTGCAAAATTGTTAATCATCATTTAAAATTCACTTTAAAAATCTGAATATAACAAATATTCTTTGAAAGAAATTTATCATCTATCACTCTTGAATTTTCTAATTAGATCTTTCCCTAAAATAAGACTATTTCAGTTGCCAAAAAAAACCCCCAGCACTTAATCTTGCCTAAATCAACTGAACTAATTTTTAAAGTACTGGCAGCTATGTTATTGATTAAATTCCATTTCCCTTGATGGGGATGACTGAAAACAGTGGGGAATGACTGGAACCTTAATAATACATCCATACATTTAGGTTTGCATCTCATTTTCATAATTCAACTTCGGTACTAGTGATGTGAATCTAGGACTTGTTTTCTGTGTGTTTTCCTCTTAAGTTTGAAAATCTCGGCTGTTACTTCAAGGGGTACCCTAATTACTTTTTGTTTTTATGAATTTGGCACAATATCTGAGAGTATGTTAAATTTTCTTTAATCTATGCATCTTTTCTGTACCGTGTGAAGAGCTCCTTTGCACAGTGTCAAATACTTGAAGGCACTGAAAGGATGCTTTGAAATTGAATGTGTTTTGAGGTTTGTTGTGGGTTTAGTCTGGTATATTTGGTTATCCTGAACTGTACAGTTTCTCAGTAATTGCTGTTTAGGGGTCAGTATAGTCAGAGTTTCCAGTAAGCAGCTTGGAGATATGGTTTTGCTCTACGACTGTTTCTCCTTTTCTGCATTCCTCTGTTTCTTGCTCCAAGAGGAGTGGCCACAGGGATGTGGGAGGGGGCATCTTACTATGTTTGTATTAGTCTTTTATTTTCACCTTTTCCTGCATACACAGAAATTTAAGAGTTGTTATTCAGTCCCAGACATTTTACCAACAGCCATTCCAGTGCCTGGGGTCCTAGAGTTGCATTTCTGAAGACATGACAAGTACTTTTAATGTATTGGGGTAAATATTATTGTTACAGAGGCAAAGGCATCTTTAATTATATAGCAAATCTTTAGAACGGTTTTTCAAGTATTTTAGTATGTATCCCAGTTATAGATACAGGATTTATATATATTATATATAATATATAAATAGAGCTATGGTATACTGAGAGAATCTATGAAAACAGCTTTTATTATATTGTAACATAAAGTAAGAGTGAACAAATTTGAACAGTATTGGATGTGGTAAAAATGGCTGGCCTAAGTCAATCTTCAAGAGTGATTGCATCATATTTATTAAAGCACCAGGTCAGGTGAATAGTCTTTTTTTCCCCTGTTTCCTACTCCAGGTGCACCTTATCCTCTTATGGAGTAAACCATTTTTTCAGTCTAAATTTAAGCTGTGCATTTCACTTTTCAGCTAATATTAGTTTTTTAAATTGAAGTCTGCAATGTGCTATCCATTTCCTGTTGTTTTTGACATACCTTGATTTGTTTGGTTGAACTACAGTTTTAATTTAAGCTTTTTGCTGACTGTTGGAAATTCATCTGGTAAAACGTTAATAAAGTACATTTATAACTCCTATCCCCTTACTTTGCAATGTGTATTAAACTCTGTGAATGTCTCTTCGGAAATGTGAGCAAAGTAGATATGTCAGCTTACAGTTTATAAGTAGCTATTAATTCTATATTGTTGTAGCATTATTGATGAATATGTTTCCTTGCATTTCATGGTTTTGTCATTGAAAATAAATATATAAGTATGTATGTAAAATGGGCTACTTGACTTTTGTCTCTGACCCTGGGGTTATGTTTATGCTGTTTAAAATGCTACTAGCTCTCATCTGCAAGGTGGAACCTTTGCCTGAGGCTAATTAGAAATCTAAATTAAAAGATGTTACCAGGATATCATGTAGTTGAATTGGATGACTGTTTTAAAGAACAAAATTAAGGTGAATCCATTCTTGTATGACTTTTAAAGTGATTCGTCTTTCCCTGCAACCATATCTGTGTTACCTAAACCACCCCCAGCTATTGAGAGCAGCTTTTAATAAATAAACATACTTGTGTGTTGTAGGCTTATTTGGGGCCAAAAAATTGAGAAAAATATTAAAACAATCTAACTGATTATATCATTACCTCAGACATGGATAATAGCTTTTAAAAGCTGCATTAAAGAAATCCAAAAAGTATTACAAATATATTTACTGTTGAGTAAGATGGTCTTCCACTATCCAAGATGGCCATCCCACATAATGCTGTTGGGAAACTGTCACTGGGCTTTGGGGAAACAAGGTAGATGTTTCACCTTCAAAGGGTAAGAACCAGTAAAGACACGTGTGTGCACATGCACGCATGTAAGTATTTATTATATACCCTTTTAACTGTTTGATTAAGGAAAAAGCAAATCACAGCAGTAGAAAAGTACTGTTAGCATTGTGTCAAGTCTTTCTTTATAACTTTTAGTTGGAATTATGATTGCTAGCATCTAAAACCAGCTTTTCTGGCAACCAGTCTCTTATTTGTGTTCTTGTTAATAGGGGTAGCTGAGGCAACCTCTGCTCTTTGCACCGAAGAAATGAGAGGGTATATAATACTTAGGGGGTTACTGTGACTGGTTATTAATTTTTTCCGTGCTTGTGCTGTTCTTGTTCTATAGAAAGTGTTGCACAGTACCAGTTAAGGGTGCGGGGAGTGCAGGAATCTTGTCAATACAATACGTAAAATGTCTGTTATAAGTATTTGAGTATTATACAAGTATGCAACCACACACTATCAAGACATGTATTGCAGCCCTGTGAAATCTTGTTTGTGTATACTATGATCTTGGTAAACTGCTCACTTCATTGCATTATCATTTTCATTTTTATTTTGGTAAGAGATGACAAATATATTTGGTACCTGGTTGAGTGGTTTTTCATGACATCTTTGCAAGGCTGAAATAATTACTTCAATTTTTTGGGAGTTATTGCATTGGAAAAAATTACTGTTAAGAAATGATAATTCTGACATTGAACAGTCAGTGACTGAAATGTGCTCAAAAATGTATAAAGAAGGTCATTTCCACAACTGCTTAGACTGTGCTTGAAATCTGTAGTTTTGTATATGGACGACTGAAAATGAAATATCAACTGTATAATTATGCATACAAACACAGTATTGCTACCCTGTCCACACACACATCATTCCCAAAACATATTTTTAACATCACTCCCCATAATTTAAGATTGATTTTGCTATTATATAACGCCTTGGTGCGTCGTGTATTATTGTGGTGGTGTGATGCTTCATGGATTGTCTGTTCTACAACCTCCAGATTTTTTTCTAGTTTGTTACGGTAGAAACTAGTAATAATAAAATTGCTTGCACTGTGTCAGTGTGCCACACATAGTCTTCAGAATTTTGGTCTTTACTTAGTTTGCAATATATTTTTTGTTGTTGCATTTTTTCCCCTTAATTTTTAACTTTTACATACTGAAATGTTCCTTTATGAAAAGCAGGTGGCATTACAATCAATAACATTGTTGTCTCTATGTGATGAACTGAACTGTGGCGTTATATAATACCAAAATTTTAAAATCTTATACATCATATTTAAATAGAGAAGTGCATATTCAGAACTTTCTTCAAAATACCAACATGTAGCTTTTAGTTTTTCATGTGGTACAGTACATGTTACCCAGCTGTTCAGTTTGAGTTTTAGAGACTTCTTTCCAGGTTTTCTACAGTAGTTTGCCATTGACGTATATATGCTGTGATGATGTAACTTCTTTCTATGTTAAATTTCACAGTTGTAGTTATGGTGAGAGATAACCTTCTTTTCTCAATATCATGGCTGCCATATGTGCTTTGACCTTTAAATCCCATCTCTTTCGTTGCATTTGTTATCCTTGTGGAATTGGAATAGCTCTTTTACAGACACCTACCCCTAGCATTTTTTCTTTCTCTTTCTTTTCAAATTCAAATGGTGAATCATTTGAAATCAAACCTAATTTGCAGCAGTAACGATCCTAAAGAGTTGCTGATTAGCAAAGCTATGGTGATATTCTTTCTCCCACTACAGTGTATTTTACAACAGTAAAATGGTTCAGCATGTGGAAAAAACATGTAATGATAGTAGCTTGTCTCAGTGTCCCTAGTTTTCTAGAGGTAGATGAGGAAACTGCTTCAGAATCATTTGAACACCAGAGACAGCCCTTCATTTTATTGTGAGGCTGATTCCTTTCTGATTCCCCTTTATTAATCTACTATTCGCTAGTGCGTAGGTTAATTATTAGATATTGCAGTCAATGACATAGAGGATATAATGACAGTCTTCCAAAAGAAGGAGGAAAACTCTTAATTATAAAACATTTACATTGGTTTTATTGCAGATCTTAATTGTGACTTCAGGTGGCCCTATTCACTGCATTTATGCATTTTTTTACAAGTTCCAGGATTTTTATTACCTCTCAGAACCTTTTATAGTTATTTTTTTTAAAATTTTTATAATATCCCTATGACACTGGTCCCAGAAAGTCAATATATAATTATTTTCTTTCTCAAGGAAAACTGTATTATTCCTGCTTCTCCCCATAAGTATATCTTAACTTGTTGGTACATCTGTATCTCAGTATTTTCTTTAATTCTTAAAAAGAATGTGGTTGGGATTGGAAAAAAGCAGATGTATGGTCTATGTGTATGCAGTAGAAAATGCATGAAATTGTGAGTATAGGTCATTTTTACTAATTGTTTGTAGAAAACTCTGAATTAAAGTGTAATTACTGAAATATGAATAGAGATTTTACATAAGTAATTAAAACAAAGTCTGTTTCTAGTAGTTTTCTTGGTAAAAAAAATCTGAAAATGGTTACTCAGAAGAATCAGCACTATAGATCGCTTTTGAGCAAGTTTCGCAACTAGAAATATCAGTTTCTAATATTATGTGAGAAAAAATGCAGAAATCTGAAAAGTTGCACTTATTTTATACCTCCTTTTCATTCGTTTGTTTTTCATATGCACTATAAAGCAGTTTAAGCTTAACTGATGAAGAGGTGTTCAGAAGAGGTTATGACTTGGCGTCTGTTTCAGGTCTTAGCAGCTTTCTCTCAGATATTTGAAAGGGATGAGTATTTACTTTTTCAGTTTTGCCCTCTCTTCTAGGGTCTTTTAGTTGCTGCTTTCACAAGTTACGTGCTTGCTGTTAAAATACTTTTCCTTCACACTTGCCAAGTTAGATGCTTGCCTGGGGCATTTGGCACGCAAACAGATAGTTACATATTGGTAATGGCAGTAGGTGCGGACGTGACTTTGCAGACTGAAGCAGCTGTGACAGAGGGGCTGCAATTTGACAAGGTTTTCTTTAAAGAACACACTTTTCGAAACAGATCAAGATTGTTAATTGAAGGGGCTTCTCTTTGGCGGGCTGGTTCAGGGGAGATGCACAACACAGAATAGCAAAGTAACTTTACAGTACACTTACCCCATCCTCCCATATTTGTGGTGGTGCATGCTCAGTTGCTGCTTGGCTGTTATCTTCTTTTCCCCTGCTATCTTTTTTCCTCCTCCTGCTTCCTTTTTTCACCTTTGTTTCTGCTCTTAATCATATCTTGCAGTCCTCTTCCCTGGCTTCATCTCATGTTTTTGCCTTTCAACTCTCAAGTTTGCATGTGTCTTCTTGGACTGGATCTACAGTAGATTTCAGTATGAAATGTTCAGTTACAGCACACATTGCTTTCATGCAAAACATCTCAATTGCAAATTTAAGTTAACCTAGCTGAAGAATAAACATGAGACTATATTAAAATTAGGAAGTTAGGAAAATATGAAGACTTGTATTTTTCTTGTTTTCTTCCTAATATTTTTTCACATATATATATATGTAAAACTTTGACAATCCAGAGTAGGATTTGTTAGGTTTAATTTTTAATTCCATTTTTAATTCACTTTTTTCATGGCATTGTTTTGTGTTAAGATTGTTACACTGCTGGCCGCATTATGAAAGCAGAAAGAAATTTAAATGAAGGCAGCTCAGATACAGTTGTGGTTAACTGGATGGTTCAGTCTATTATATTGCTACTTCCAGGCAGTACAAACTTTGCTCACCTGCTATGGATAAAACAGGTCCAAAATGGCAGCATGGCAGTATTTTGGAGGATTTCTACTTACTTGGAATTTAAGGGCATATACATTAAGATACATGAGCCATTCAGAAGGATGGAGGAGGGAGTTTGGTAGCTTACATTTCTTTTCAGTCTCACTGTAAACTTTTCTTCTGCTTGATTACTAGAAATTACCGAGATGCTGTTGTAAACAATCAGATTTAATGCGAATTGTGGTCTGTTTGGAGAGTGGTGAGCTGTCTCTGACAAATGATGAAAGGGTTGTTTGAGGGGTTGTGATTTTGTTTGCTTTGGTTGCTTTGCTTTGGTTTTGGTTTTGCATTTGTTTTTTGTAACTGTGGCATTTTAAATAGATACAAGTCACTTTATATTGATGTGGTTATTTTATTTCCGTTTCAGCTTATTTGATATGCTAAGATGATTGAATCTCTTCTTATTAAGACTTGCTAGATATGTGAACTAAAGCACTAGGTATATGTTTGGGGTTCTCATTAAATGATTTTAATTATTTCATTAGTGTGACTGCACTGATGAAAAGGTGTTAAGATTTCATCATCTTGCTCTTCTGCAGAGATCAGCTGAGGAAGGTTAATGTTGTTGGATTCCTGTGTTTGGAGATAACTAAAAAGTCATGTAGACCAGAATGCTTTGACTTTGCTTCTCTGCTTTACCAGTTTCTATCCAAATGCCTGCTGAAATCTAAATTAGGAGTTGAAAGACTTGTTCCTGAATTTCCTTTTCATTCCTGGAGTTGAGATACCTACAGGTATCTGAAAACTGTGTGCCAACACTACAGAATATAGAAATGCATACTTTGTCTACTTTTGAATGTAGGTGGACGCCTTTATGGCAGGCATAATTAGCAGTCTGTTTTGTGTGGGGATTACACTGTGCTCCCCTAGGTAGGAAACACAGTGTTCGGCATTTTTGGGTTTTCAAGTTTCCTTAAAATTTTCCTGTATCCCTATATTTCATTTGAGGGAAATGCATGGTTGGTGAACAAAGGGGGAATCTAGTCGGGGAGGCTGG